CATAGAGAGTTTATATCAAGAATATAATTTCAGGCTGGGTACAGTGGCTCACACCTGTAATCCTAGCATTTTGAGAGGCCTGGGTGAGAGGATTGCTTGAGCCCAGGAGTTTGAGATCAGCCTGGGCAACGTAGTGAGATCTCATCACTACAAAAAATAAAAATAAAAAAATTAACTGAGTATGGTGGCTCACACCTGTAGTCCCAGCTACTCAGGAAACTGAGGTGGAAGGACTGCCTGAGCCCAGAAATTTTAGGCTACAGTGAGCCATGATCATGCTATTGCTCTCTAGTCTGGGTGACAGAGCAAGACTCCAACTCAAAAATAAAATAATAATAAAGAATGTAATTTCAGGAAAAAACAAGCAAATGGGCTGTTTCTTCACCAGTAACCCAACTGTCTAGCATTCACAATACACCAACTGTAGACACCCTGAAAACAAGGACCAGGTCTTGTTCACTCCTGAATCCACCGAAGAACCATGCTTGTCACCGCTGGCAGGATAATTATACAGCAGTCCTCAAAGTTCAAGGTGTGTAGGAAGACAGCTATGTTCTTTAAGGTATTATTTCTTGCCAAGTGTTTTCATTTAAAACAAACACTTACATTTTTATTCTTACGGTATATATTGAGTCCTAACACCTGTTTTCAGGCTCATTTTCTAGGCTAGCTACTTTCTTCTAAACACATACTTCTAGGAGTTAAGGGTTTTATTATGTGACTTCATAATTCTGCCCTCAAGGAATCAAAGACAAGGGGCCGCATTAATTTTGGTGATTCTCGGCTGGGCGTGGTAGCTCAGCCTGTCATCCCAGCACTTTGGGAGGCCGAGGCCAGACGATTGCCTGAGCCCTGAGGTTTAAGACCTGCCTGGGCAACTTGGTGAGACCTCATCTCCACAGTAAATCGCAAAAACTAGCCAGGTGTGGTGGCGTGTGTCTGTAGTTTAGCCATTTGAAAGACTGAGAAGGAAGGATAGCCTAAGCTCAGTAGGTCACCATACAGACAAGAAGCAGAATCCCCAGTGAGGGAGCTTTGATCCTTGTTCCCTTGAATGAGCAATTTCTTTTCTTTTTTTGAGTCAAGGTCTCTCTCTGTCGCCCAGGCTAAAATGTAATAGAGTAATCACAGCTCGCCGTAGCCATGACCTCCTGGGCTCAGGCATGTCCCTGAACTCCAGCCTGGACAACAAAGAGTGAGACTCCAACTCAAAAAAAAAAAAATTGATGATTCTCTATGGAACTTGTCCAGTATAAAATAAGGATACATGTAAGGGAACATCTAATCCCATTACAGAAGGTTCTGTGTAGGAAACCCTCAAGGTCCTTCTTCTTAGGAAGCTTTGGGGCCACCCCAAGGTGGTCTCCTCTTTCCTCGAGTTGTTGGCTTAGGACAGAACCTGCTGGTTTGCCTCATGGGAGCCAACACACCAGCTCCCTCACTGGGGATTCTGCTTCTTGTCTGTATGGCAGTAGAAGAAGATTCAGCCCTCCTGGATCCTGCCCCCACCCTTTGCTTTGAGTGCTTTAAAATTGCTCACTCAGGATGGGCTCAATGACTCATGCCTGTAAATCTCTTTGGGAGGCTAAACTGGGAGGATTGCTTGAGCCCAGGAGTTCGAGACTAGCCTGGGCAACAGAGCAAGATCTCGTCTCTACAAAAAAAATTTAAAAATTAGCCGGAACAGTGGTACACACCTGTAGTCCCAACTACTCTGGAGGCTGAGGTGGAAGGATCGCCTGAGCCCAGGGGGTCATGGCTGCGGTGAGCTGTGATTGCTCCATTGCACTTTAGCCTGGACGACTGAGTGAGACCTTGACTCAAAAAAAGAAAAGAAATTGCTCATTCAAGGGAAACAAGGATCAAAGGCAAACCAAGGAATCACAAGCTAACAAGCCCCCCTCTCTCCTGACCAGCACAATCCTGTCCACCCATCCCCTCTGTGCAGGTAGTGGAGGGAACTCCAGCTTTTACTTTTGGGCCTCACAAGCCTCCATCCTCTCTCCCTGGTGCTGCCTGGGGTTGTGGATGATTACCCAAGCACTCATTGCGATGGACAAAGCTCCCTGCCATCCACTGGAACGTGTTAAACCAGTTAGGGAATCACTTGTGTTTTCCTGTCTCAGATCTGCTTTATCGTGATTCTGGCGTGATGTGGGGAAAACAGAATCCAGCAACACTTGAGCTTTTAGGTTTCCTCTTGACTAAGTACTTTCAAATTTGTAAACAAAACATCCAGAAACCTCTTAAGAAGAGGCTACTTTAAGGGACCCTGTGGTCTTACGTGCTATGGGGCTTCCCTCCGTGAGGGACACCTTCGCATGTGAGTAATGTCACTTGCTCGCTATGTTGGCCCACCTGCTTTTGATTTCCAAGGTTAAATCACTTGGCTTACCTCTTACCAAAGTGTTCTTTCTCCGCCTCCACCCCATAGCCTTGCTAATGGTCTGGCCTTTAAGTGAGAATACCTAGCACACCAAGCCCTGCATTTAGCCAAGGCCTGGCTCACGCCTTCTTCCAGCATGGCCTCCCCACCAGGCCATGGCAGTCTTGGATGAAGTATCAGCAAAGGCAGAGTAGCTAGGCGCAGTGGCTCACACCTATAATCCCAACTCAATGATATCATAACCACTCAATGTTTATTGTACATTTTGCAGGCTACACCATGCAGGGACCTGGAAGAATAACAGGAGGGACTTTTTTTTAGAAGTAAATGACATGAACTGTTTTTGGGGATTTTTTTTTGAGTTGGAGTCTCACTGTCATCCAGACTGGAATGCAGTGGCAGTGGCATGCTCCTGACCGCTGCAGCCTCGACCTGCTGGGCTCTGGTGATCCTTCCGCCTCAGCCTTCCAAGTAACCAGAACTACAGGTGTGCACTACCATGCCCAGCTAATTTTTTATTTATTGTAGAGACGAGGTCTCACCAAGTTGCCCGGGTGGGTCTCAAACTCGCAGGCTCAGGCAATCCACTTGCCTTGGCCTCCCAAAGTGCTAGGATGACAGGCTGAGCCACTGAGCTCAGCCACATGAACCATTTCTTAAAATGCCCTCAAAACATTTTGAGTGCCTAGTCTCACAATTTGCTTCTAGGCAAGTCATTTTCTTACTCTACACATGTAAGTAGGAAATTTTATTTAATGCACCCTACTGTGGCTGAGTGTGGTGGCTCAGCCTGTCATCCCAGCACTTTGGGAGGCTGAGGTGAGAGGGTTGCCTGAGTCCGGGGGTTTGAGACAAACCTGGGCAGCTTGGTGAGACCTTGTCTCTACAATAAATTTAAAAAGTTAGCCGGGCATGGTGGCCCATACCTGTAGTTCCAGCTACTTGGAAGGCTGAGGCAGAAGGATTTCCTGAGCCCAGCAGGTTGAAGCTGCGGTGGCTGTGAGTGTGTCACTACCCCCAGCCTGGGTGACAGAGTGAAACTCTAACTCAAAAAATTAAAAAATTAAAAAATAATTCACCCTACTGAAACTCTTAAAAGCCTGTTTTAAAATTTTGTTCTTAATCAATCTTACTCCCATTGTATCCATTCAGATTCATAAAAAGCTGGACTTTCTCTTGGCTTCACACCAGAAACAAAGCAGCAATGCTTATGAAGCCGTGGTTTATTATGATTATTGAGTGCATATTATGTCCTGTGATAATAGACACCTCCTGTGTTTGGCACTACAGTATCTTAGAAATGTTCGTGCAAATTAGGAAGCTATTCAAAAGTAGCAGTACAACGAAACCCTCCCCCTACACCTATCACAAAGGAGGTGGGTGTTGACTGTGCTCCATGCAGCCACCCTAAGAACGGGGAGTCTTGATTTCAATGCTGCCATGTCACCTTGGGAAAGTGAGTTGATTTCAGTTGTCACCGCCATTTTCTTTCTCTGAAGAGAGACAGTCATCATAGGCCCAAGGGGTGACAGGAAGCTCTAAAAATGGTTTTATCCCTTTCTCTATACCTTGACCATATCATCTACGGATTCTCCAGGTGAGCTCACACAGGCTGTCACACTGGATTGAGGTCGAAAGAGCGTGAACTCCTTCTCAGGGGCCTTCAAGGGGAATTTCACAACCATGCAGGAGACGATCACAGCTGCCCTTGGTGGACAGAGCACCTCAAGGAAGACTTGAGGCAAGAAGAAGGGTGGAAACTCACCCTTGCTTTATGCTTCCCATGACCCTTTGGGCCTATAATGGCTCTCTCTCTTTTCATAGAAAGAAAATGGCGGTGACAACTGAAATCAACTCACTTTCCCAAAGTGACATGGCAGCATTGAAATCAAGACTCTCCATTCTTAGGGTCGCTGCATGGAGCACAGTCAGCACCCTCGTCCTCTGTGATAGATGTAGGAGGGAGAGTTTAGTTGTATTGCGACCTTTAAATAACTCCCCCATGTCACTTCAGAGGGAAGGGAAGAACAGTCCAGCAGGAGGAGAAGTTAAGTGTGGTAGCAGCAATGCTAGTACTTTGTTTTTTGGTTTTTTTTGAGACAGGGTCTCATTCTGTCATCCAGGCTGGATTACAGTGGTATGATCACTGCTCACCGCAGCCTCGCCCTCCTGAAGTCAGACAATCCTCCCACCTCAGCCTCCTGAGAAGCTGGGACTACAGGCATATGCCACCAGGCCTGGCTAATTTTTTTATTTTTATTTTTTGTAGAGATGAGGTCTGGCTATGTTGCCCAGACTGGTCTCGAACCTGGGCTCAAGCAATTCTCCCACCTCAGCTTCCCCAAGTGCTGAGATCATAGGCGTGAACCACCGTGACCAACATGCTAGCGTTTTTCTTACAAGTCTGGCAACAGAAACACCTCAGGATTTCTCTATGCCAGCATATTATGCTTGGTCAACCCGTGAACACATATATTTCCTTGAAAAAAAGAGTCACAAAATATTTACACTGTGATACAAGATCTTTGGCGTAAGAAGTCATTCCCTTTCAAAATGATTCTATTGGTCTGACATTAAATTTTATTGTTTAAAAAAACAAATTTTCTCGTTGCAGGTCAACTGCTAGGGAGTATGCTCTGAAAATCATCAAGAAAAGCAAATGTCGAGGCAAAGTATGTATAAAGTTTGTTCTTTTGAAATATAGCGTTCAGGGAGTAGAAAGAAACACAAAGATCAGCCCCCAAATAATCACGAGCTCACCCTATGAGCTGCACTTTGGGGTGATGTACTTATTAGAATATAACTTTGTAAGTATCCCTGGAATAGAAGTTAGTTGGAATGATTGGATGTCTTTCCTTTTCTTTGTTTGCTGGTTTGTCTACTTCCTTCCCTTACTTTTGTGATCTGGGTTTCATTCCGTCCTTCTACATGAAATCATAATGCTTGCAATGGGTTCTGAACTCTTAAGCATTGCCTAAAGACCGTCAACATCTGTTGGCCATCCTAGAGTACCTGAACATCAGAACATAAGAGGCACTTGTATTTTACCAAAATATGTCTCTCTTGATCCTTAACAGTGCAGTTGTACCCATTTGAATTAGCAGTTCCTATGTTCTATTTACAAAGGGGGACCCCCAATAACCCCTGGAATTTATTTATTCAAAAGTTGGATATTTATTCTTACCTGTTTTAACATCAGTCGCCTTCAAAATACTGTTTAATACAGCATGCCTATCAAAATACTTTTTTCCACTGCTCAAAGCAGTTTTTAAACTCATCAATTTTAATGCCTTTTAGTGCTTCTGCCATTTTTTGTTTGACCTCTTCCACATCGGCAACATGTTTTCCTTTTTAGACTTTTTTCATACAAACCTCCCCCCCCAAAAAAAGTCAGTCATTCAGGGCGACATCAGGTGAATAGGGAGTTTGGAGCATGGATGTCGTCATTTTTTATAAAACCTGCTGAACACTCAGCGTGGTGTGGGCAGGTGGTTTGTGTCAATCACCCAACATGACATGGGCCAACACCCTGAGAGAATCTCCAAAAAAAATTCACTGAAGCCAAACACAGCCTCTCACAGCAACATTAGCTGGTCCCCTGATGCCGATGGGTTCCTAGAACCCGCACCTAGCGGGGGAAGCCTGTGCTACAAGAGGCCTGCCCTCCAAAAGATAATTCTAGTTTTTCTGGGTCCCCCCTCATATATCGATGAAGATAACTGTTCCCTTGGACAGGAACACATGATCCAGAATGAGGTGTCTATTCTAAGAAGAGTGAAACACCCCAACATCGTTCTTCTGATCGAGGAGATGGATGTTCCAACGGAACTGTATCTTGTCATGGAATTAGTAAAGGTACGTGTTTTGGACAAGAAAGAAAACCTCTATTGGAGACATCATACTTTCTCTTTTTTTTTTTTTTTGCATCGGAGTCTCACCGGCACCCAGGCTGGAGGACAGCAGCATGCTCCCAGCCACCGCAGCCTCAACCTGCTGGTCTCTGGTGGTCCTTCCACCTCAGCCTTCCAAGTAGCCAGAACTACAGGTGTGTGCTACCACACCCGGCTAATTTTTTATTTATTGTAGAGACGAGGTCTCACCAAGTTGCCCGGGCAGGTCTTGAACCCGCGGGCTGAGGCAATCCACTCGCCTCGGCCTCCCAAAATGCTGGGATTACAGGCTAAGCCACCGAGCCCAGCCGAGACATCATAGTTTCTTATATTTCCCTTATTTTCTCCCACCAGTATTCCATTACTTATTTCTGTTCACCAGCACAGTGATTAGGAATATTAGCAAGAAAATTATATCGCAAAGACCCAGGTCCCAGCCTTGTGGCAAATAGGTCCATGACCTTGGGTATATGACTTTATGTCTCAGTTGCTGCATGTGTAAAATGAGAATCATACAAGGACCTATTTAACAGTGTTATTGTGGCCAGGTGCGGTGGCTCACACCTGTAATCCCAATACTTTGGGTGACCGAGGCAGAAGGTTCTCTTGAGTTCAGGAGTTCAAGACCAGCTGGTCTCTACAGAACAATAGAAAATTTAGGTGGGCATGGCGTTGTGTGTCTGTAGTCCCAGATATCCGGAATGCTGAGGCGGAAGGATCACCTGAGCCCAGGAGCGGGATGCCGTGGTGAACTGTGGTTATGCCACTTTACCCAGGCATGAGCCACAGAATGAGACTCTGGCTCAGAAAAAAAAAAATACTGTTATTGTGAGGATAAAGAAGAATGGCTTCCACTAGTTTGCATAACACAGAAAGTGTCCAATTCTAATGTAATTGTTGTCGTCATTGTTGTAATAGAAAATTGTTTGCTTTTTTATGAACTATAACCAAAGGTAGCAACCATTTTGTAAAGACAAGCTTTAAGCATTTAGTCAGTAACATACTAGAAAAATAACACAGCCCTAATAATAAGGTGAAGAGTTAAACTGCCTTCCTGTAAATATTATAATCTTATTCAATAAACGGTATTGAAAAATGATCATTCTAGGTCAGATGAAGTGGTTCACACTTATAATCCCAGCACTTTGGGAGCCTGAGGCAGGAGGATTGTTTGAGCCCAGGAGTTCAAGACCTGCCTAGGCAACATAATGAGACCTTGTCTCTACAAAAAAATAAACAAATAAAAATTAGACCAGGCTCGGTGGCTCAGCCTGTAATCCCAGCACTTTGGGAAGCCAAGGCCAATAGATTGCCTGAGCCCATGGGTTCGAGACCAGTCCCGGCAACTTGGCTGGACCTTGTCTCTACAATAAATAAAAAATTAGCTGGGCGTGGTAGTGCACGCCTGTAGTTCCAGCTACTTGAAGGCTGAGGTGGAAGGATTGCTGGAGCCCAGCAGGCTGATGCTAGGGTGGCCGTGAGCCTGCCACTGCATTCCAGCTGGGGCCACGGAGTGAGACTCCAACTCAAAAAAACAAACAAACAAAATTAACCGGGTGTGGTGGTATGCACCTGTAGTCCCAGCTATCTGGGAGGCTGAGGTGAAAGGATCACCTGAGCCCAGGAGGGTGAGGCTGTGGTGAGCCGTGATTGTGCCACTGCACTCCAGCCTGGGGGACAGAGTGAGACCTCAACTCAAACAAAACAAGTGGTAATAAAACAGGCCTAAGTCATGGCAGAAGATGAAATTGAACAGGAATGAAGGGTGGGGAAAAGCCTTTTTCTTTAGGTTGTGGAGGAGGAATGGTGATTTCTTGAAGAGAGAAAGAAAATCGCGGCAGAAAATAGCAGGGAAGGGAGCAGTCAGTGTGCAGGTGACAGATGAAGAGCTGAGGAAGGAAGCATTTCGGGTTGTGAGGCCACATGGCAGCCATCCAGGGAGGATGCATCAGGAATGTTCACTCAGGCAGCAGAGGGGGGAGGTCCAGAAAGATGGGTGTGAGAAATAGTTCAGCCTGTAACCTCAGCTGCTCAGGAGGCCATGGCAGGAGAATCATCTGAGCCTCAGAATTTGGAACCAGCCTGGACAACATAGCAGGACCCCATCTTTACAACAATCTTTTTAAAAAGTCAGCCAGGCATGGTAGTATAGGTCTATAATCCCAGCTCCTTGGGAGGCTGAGGCAGGAGGATTACTTGATCTCAGGTATTTGAGACGAGCCCGGGCAACATACAAAACTTTGTCTCTTACATTTAAAAAAAATGATCTGAGCCAGGCTCGGTGGCTTAGCCTGTAATCCCGCGCCTTTGGGAGGCTGAGGTGAGTGAATTGCCTGAGCCCGCGGGTTCAAGACCTGCCTGGGCAGCGAGACCTCATCTCTACAATAAATCAAAAAATCAGCCGGGCATGGTAGCGCACGCCTGTAGTTCTGACTACTTGGAAGGCTGAGGCGGAAGAATCGCTGAAGCCCAGCAGGTTGAGGCTGCGGTGGCCGGGAGCGGACACTGCACTCCAGTCTGGGCGACAGAGTGAGACTCCAACTCAAAAAAAAAAAAATGATCTGGGTGTGATGGTGCGTGCCTGTAGTCCCAGCTACTTGGGAGGCTGAGGTGTGAGGATCACTTGGGCCCAGGACTGCTTTGTTGAGGATGAAGAAGAAAGGGGATTACAGGATGCCTGGAGACCAGATGGCTGAGAGAATAGTGGCATCTTTGCAGAGTCCTTATATATAGCTTCACATATCCTGCTGTGGAACTCACATAGACCACAATGACTGTCTTGCCTTCTTGAGTGACACGAGACATCCTGCAAACCCACGGATAGCAGCCTCGCCTTTGAGAGAAGCGGGACGCTGAAAGGGAAAGCATTCGTTTTGGAAAAAGAAAAAAAAGTGACCAGACACAGTGGCTCACGCCTGTAATCCTAGCACTTTGGGAGGAGAGGGCAAGGCAAGAGGATTACTTGAGCCTAGAGGTTCAAGACCAGCCCAGGCAGCATGACGAGACTTTGTCTCTATTATTTTAAAAAGTATGTGCTTAGTTTGAGAACTAGTGAGGCTTAATGAACAGTGAGAGAAATCTCCAGAGTGGAGATTGTTCAGGAGAGCAGAGAGTTCAGGCCAGAGAGGCAGATTTGAAAAACTGCTGGGACTTTATTTTGCTTTCTCTGTTGTAAAAAGAAAAACTGAGTTCCGTAGCCCCATCGGGCCACATAGGAATACCATTGGTTACTGTGCTTGGCTGTTGGGTGCACCATAGGCAAGAATGATGGAGACATTGTTAGTAAATCAAACCCAAATCCCCCCACCCCCAAAGGGGTTGGAATAAATGGAACTGAAATAGAAACTTGAAAACCACTCTGTTTCATCAAACAGCAATATGTTATCAAGGAACCAGGGTAACAAAAGTTCAGATGAATAACGGTCCTAGAAAACTTTTCTTTGAAAATTCTCTGCCCTCCCTCCCTCCCTCCCTTTCTCTCTCATCTTTGGAACGACAGTCTCTGGCTCTTTTCTCTGTTTCTTACAAAAAATCACAGTCTTGAGAAAGAAAACACTACGCCCACTCCCCACTCAGAGAGAGCTAAACCCGGAGTCTGAAGGGGTTTGTGTGCACGTGTCTTGCTAATTTCACAAGGCGGAACATTGTGTCAAGCATGCAATTTGCAGCATTACCTGTTTCTCACCAGGGGAGGTTGAGGATGATGAATCTGAACCTCCCCTCGCTGGCAGTCAGCGTGAGGCAGGTAGCACGTGCCCCTGGGCTGCCACGTGTCACGAGGCCTCTGGCCCGGTGACACGGCTCCCCCTTGGCCTTCCTTGGCTGGGAGCTGTGGAAACGCCACGTGTCTCGCGGTGGAAGCGTCTTACCCTGCTCCTTTCTTTGGTGAAAGTGTCACTTGAGAGAAATCAGCCTACGGCCTCCGGGCCTTGAAGAGGGAGGAGGCAGGGAAAGCCCTTAGGAACCCAAAGAGGCCAGGTCCATGCTGCCGCGTCCTCTAGTATGTCAGTGGCCTCTGCGGGTGGCCCTGGTGGTCCATCTGTTCATGCACTGCTTCCCCTGCTGTTCTCTTCTCAGGGCGGAGACCTCTTCGATGCCATCACTTCCACGAACAAGTACACTGAGCGGGATGCTAGTGGGATGCTGTACAACCTGGCCAGCGCCATCAAGTACCTGCACAGCCTCAACATCGTGCACCGCGACATCAAGCCGGAGAACCTGCTGGTAAGGGGAGTTCTCACTTCCGGGGTCCTGAGTTCCCAGCACTCGTGGGCGAAGGAAGAGTATTTCTTTTTCTTTTCTTTCCTTAAACATACAAGCCAAAAAAAAATTAAAGGCCAGCTTCCTGCCAGTCTTCAGTATCTGGTGAAACTTGCTTTTTAGGTGGATCTGGAAGAGTTCATATGCCCGTAAGAACACTTGCTTTATCAGCAAATAAAAGCCAGGCCCGGAAATGGGACCAGAGCTTGGGAATCCTAGGGGCTGTAGTTAGCACACCCTGGGCTGAGACAAGGTAGTGATGAGGAACACTCACACGCGTGTCATTTATCTGTGTCACTTTTGTGTTAGAAAGTTTTTTCTTGGGGAAAAAAAGAAAACCCTTTTAGACTTTTTCTGAGTCTCCTAAGTTTACATATTAGTAAAATGATCTAAACCTAAGAGATGCCAGGTGTGGTGGCTCACACAGCTTGAGAGGCCAACACAGGAGGATTACTTGGGCCCAGAAGTTCAAGACCAGGAGGACTCGTCTCTAAAAACAAACAAACAAACAAAGAAAAACAAACCACTGGGCTTGGTGGAGCATGCCTGTAGTCCCAGCTACTCAAGAGGCTGAGGAAGAAGGATCGCCTGCGCCCAGGAGTTCGAGACATGTTGGTGCCCCTGCACTCCAGGCTGAGTGGCAGAGTGAGACTTCCAACTCAAAAAAATAAAAAATAAATCAAACCTAAGAGAAATAAATCACAATGGATTTCAAAGAGACCAGCCCTCAGCATTAAAAATAATGATGCAGAAGGCTGAGTTTAAAAACCAGATATCCTTCCCCCACAAAACGACTATGTGGTTGGCTTGTCATGTCTTTAGGGAAACAGGGAGGGTTCTCCACTAAGCACGGGGGCATCTTTTCCTAGTCTAGTTGTCAAGGGGACAGTGTAGAAAGAAATGAGGTGGCAGAGACTAAGCATGGGACACTGTCACTGGTAAATACGGGAGTAAATAAATGTTGCTGGAATTTCAATGAAATACATTTCATTTACATGTATTACATATAGTATAACACATATATTTTATATAGTATATTATATATAATATGCAGTCCATGTAAAAGAAATGTATAATATACAAATAAGATTATATATATTTTTTCTCCAAAGATATATAATACATATATTATATACAGCACATGTAAATGAAATGTATAATAGAATATACATATGAGCGTGTGTGTGTGTATGTATATGTGTGTGTATATATATATATATATATTTTTTTTTTTTTTTTTCCCCTCCAAAGATGCTAGTTGGTCTTTTTCTTTTATTACCACCGCTGAGCATCACATATAATAATATGTGACTCCTGTTAGCTTGCCCTATCTCTTCAGAAATCTGGGAATTGAGGATTGTCTTTCTAAAGCAGTGCTTCTCCAAGGGTGGTCCAGAGACCCCCCTGCATCAGAATTACTCCCAGATGCCTGTTAAAAATGCAAATTTCTGGGTCTGGATGCAGATCTGCCAAATCAGAAACTGGTAACAGATGACAGCAGGCAGTGGTCTACGTGGTAACCAGCTCACCCAGGTCTTCTGCATGCCCATGCCAGCCTCAGATCAGATGAGTGGTACCACTCCCATGACGCGAAGCCAAATTCTTAAGAGCCGTCATGATGGGGACCCACCTATGCACTCGGCCCTGTGCTGAGGGCCTGACAGTCATTCTTTCATTGAATCCTCACCACGACCATATGGGGCAGGTTCTGGGACTGTCTCACTTCACAGGTTAGGTATTGGGTACTTGCCAATAGCAGCTCAGAAGTAGAGGAGCAAAGACCTCAAGCTAGTTTTGGCCTACCCCAAATCCCCAGCTCTTGTCAGAAGACCGCAGTTAGTTCTGGATCAGGAAGAGGGTCATTGAGCATGTCCTATGGGCCAGGTACTGTGCCAGGGAACGAGAAAGACACCTGCCTTCATGTAGTCGACGTCACCCAGGAAAGATAGGCCGTCAAGAAATAAATATGGTTCGTTCGTTGCAATTAGGCTGGTAATCTTGTAGCTACTGCCTAATAAAGTCACTTGAGGTCAAGCGACAGAGTCCCGACTTAATTGCACCTCAAATTCCACATCTCTGCAGTAGCCTAAACATTCTCTTCTGCATAGCTGCCTCCATAAACTGCAGCAATTTTCTGTCGTCTGCATTCATTAGTCTGGTGTCCCGAATTATATAGGATTGCCTCACGGGAACAGACTTATAACTGGGCCTTTGTTTAAAAACTTCTCTAAGCTCCAAAACTCGAGGGATTGAAAATTAAAGCTTCACTTCCTTCCCCTTTTTCTTTGGCAGTTCAGTTTTGTGAACCCATGGTCCACTTGCTTCTCTCCAGAGTGTTATCTATTTCTGGAAATGCCAGGAATGATTACAGAGCAGTATATTTTTACTAAAATTACTATTTAAGTACTGTGATTATTCAAACATATTTTACTTTAAATTGGCCCAAAAGGGAAAAAAAAGTTCTCTCCTTCCGTTTTCCTTTCTTTTCTAATTTAAGAATCTGGAATATGTAGAGAAACCATCATTGCCGTTGTGTGTAATATAGGTTTAAAATATCTATATGGAAAACTAAAAGAGATGCTATCCTCTGTTGTAGTAATTTCTTACTGTTGGAGGCAGAGCTGGGTAAATTTTACAGGGATAAATCTATGATAGGATAAAATAGTTAGAAGGCCTCTGTTAATTGCGCATTCTGTTGAATTGTCTGTGAAGATAAGGGAGCATTGTCACAGGAAGTATACTTTCACATACACAGAATTTACAGTCAAACATAAGTTCAAAGCCAAGTGGTTCGCTCTTCCACTTGGCTGCTCCTATGACCTTGAACAAGTTCTTAACTCCTTCAAGCCTTCTTTAAGGGAAATTTTATAAAGATAAAGAGATTGCACATAACTATTAGTACTCTGTTTTTAAATCCCCCCCTTTATTTGCAATAAAAATTAAATCACCCCTAAATACAAACTACTTCACAATAGCACTGTATGTAGTGAAAATCATTTTCTATCTTTTATTGACATTGTCTTTAGAATTTTACTAAAGCAGGAAAGATAGGCCGTCTCAGGGATGGATTTGCCACCTCATGGCAAAATTTAGAACTGTGGACTATTTTGAGGAAATGTTATAATAAAAGTAACATAAAGATATTGAATCCGTTTGGTTACTACAGATAAACTTACCAAATAAATAAAAAGGTCTCACCACACACTTGGCCTTCCGAAGACTTCAAAAACTCTTCTAAGCTGTTAGACTATTAACAAGGTTTTTGCTAGCTAAGTGTTTAATATTTGTTGTAACTAACAAAGTGGTTTTTAATGAACGTCAAATTCTGCTATAGATTTGATTTTATGTAGTATAGTCATATAAACATAACTTTTAGCATTTCTCATTTTTAATTCTTATAGAACAATATAAAAATGTAGTGTGACCTTAAGGATCTATATTGACCATATATGTGATGTATTTAACCCTAGGTGGTCGAGTCAAAATATTATTATTATTATTTTATTTTAAAGATACAGGGTATAATTCAGGATTAGTTGTATAAATGGTCATTATGTCGGTACGCTTGTTGATGAGGTGTGCCTCCCACCCCCAGCAGTTTCCAGGTACTGTCAAGTCCTTGGGTCAAAGTATTTTAATGAGAATATATTATTTGACTTACAGTGATATTTCCAGCCACAATTTATGCAAAAACTTGGAATTGACCCGGTTAAAAAAAAAAATGCCTCTCATAAATTTCTAACTGTGTTATTACTAAGGCTTTATTTCCCCCCAAAAGTTAATCATGCCTGTGATTTTATGTGGGTTCTTGTAGTTGACTCGTTGTCAGGCCTGGTGCTTATTAATCATATGAACAGGTGGACGTCAGAGTGCATGAGATTAGGCAGTGAGTAATCTTCCCTTCTTCAAGGAATAGAAGACAAGGCCTAACCATTGCCCAGTGGGTCATTCACATGGAGAACTCACACTGGCCTCCATGTAAACCTCTCCGAGCTGAGAAAGTACAATGCGTCTTTGACTGCACGTATGCATGGGACCACTGTATGTGTATGGGCAGATGTGTAGAGGGTGTGTGTGTGTGTGTGTGTGTGTGTGTGTGTGTGTGTGTGTGTATACCATGATAGGATTAAAGGAACTTTTTGCTTAAAAAAAAAAAAAAGAGCGCCTTCAGTTTACTCAAGTCACCACTAGATGGCAGGCTTAGACCCTTGGCAGCAAAACCCATCCATAGTAACTTGTCTTTCTTCCAGGGAGCTGAGCGGGTCTTATAAAAAATATGTACAGAGATGCCACCTCCTTTCGAAAATTAAAGTCTTTACTGACAAAAATATAACTCACATCATTAGTTTCATTAAATTCCAGAAATAAACACAGTAACTGTCCTCAAATATATACAAGTCTCTATGCAGAGATCTTTTTTCCTCTCACACTCAGAGAAACTGCCTTTCTTGGTGAGGAATTTTCTTTCTGAAGCTATCCATTCAGGTGTTTGTGCCTGTCCTCAGCTGCCCATGTCACAAAATGACATGGGCAACTTATGATCTATGCTTTCACGCGATGGATTATACGAGGGAGAACCCCTCCCCCACAAAACAGGAATTACCTGGAGGAAGGGCCCTTGATAGTCTCCTGGGTAAGTATTCTAGGAACTCATTGGCATAGGTGTACCAGCTGGTGTTGTGCATCACAATTTGTTGGAAGAAACATCCCGAGTTGTGGCAGACAAATGGCTGATTCTCCCACCATGACAGCACACCTGCCCACACCATGCTGAGTGTCCAGCCGTTTGGGACCCAAAACAGCATGACCCCCGTACCCCACCTCCCTTATTCACTGACTCTCACCCCAGATGAATTTTTTTTGTTTCCCTGGGTGCAAAAAGTCCTCAAAGGGAAACATTTTACTGATGTGAAAGAGGTGAAACAAAAAAAAGGCATCAAAATTGATGTATTTTGAGCAGTGGA